TCACATCCTCCATTTCAAGACATGTCCTCCTTTCCTCCATGGCCTCCTTGTATCGGTTTTCTCTGTGACAAAGCTCGGGCGTAAACACTATGAACATTCCGTTTGTCCATATACATAAAAGTGATGAAGATCTTTAGCTAAATAAATTTGAAATACAGTATGTCAGCCCTTAAATATGTCACACAAATCAGGGACACCCAGCTGAAAATGTTGAATTTATTGAGCATTTAACACATTTAGTGATTTCTGTGCTGTCAGTTTTCTCACTGTCTTTCACTCTCTCCCCATTTAATGTTGCCCCCTAATAAAAAGTAGAGGCAGTGTAATCTTCCCTATTGTCCCAGGGGACTTCCTTCTCCCCAGCAGCAGCAGATCAAGTCAGAACAGCGCTGGACCAACAGACAGAAATTCACTCCCTTGTCGCTATCAATCTCCGCTGCTGTTGACAATAATCCTGATTTGCCTTTCCCTCTTGTTTTCACTCCTGAAGTCCCAGCGTCTCCTGCCCACTTTAAGAAAGCAGGGTTTCACTGTGATTGTTACTGACAGCCAAATCTGCAGATTCATTTGAGTTGGTTTCTGTGTCAAAATGCTCCACAATGTTAGCAGCACATTGCATGGCACAAGAAATTACAACATTGTCCACAATGGTCAAAGACCCTAAAATTAACAAATGCACCAGTACAAAAATGTAAAGCTACTCAGTTACATGTTTAAAGTCCTATTTACAGTAAGTAAATGCACATATGCATTAGCAGCACACATATAAAAGGAATAGTTCAGTTTACTGTCTATTTTTATGTTATATTACTGTACATTCAATAAAGTAAATACAAATATATTTTAAGTAAACTTAAAAGGTAAAAGTGTAATGATACTGATAATAACTTTTACATAGTTTTCTTTCTTTTTTTAGATCAACCAGGGTTTACAATAATTGCGCTCAAAGTATCAGTCAAATAATGCATTCTGCAGACAAATATCTTTTTGGTTAAGGTGGAGCTCAATCTGTTTCAACATATGCTTTTTTATGCCAAATCTTAATCTGAAATGTTACTTTTAACTACAGCTGTAAAATAAAAGTAATGGAGTAATACATATAATCTGTCACTTTGAAATGTACTGAAGTGGAGTAGACATATAATGTAGAATGGCAATAAATTATATATCACAAAACTGTACTTTTACTACAGTGTTAGCTACACTGGTAAAGTAAAACATACTTAGTTACTTTCTACCACTGATGATCTGTTTTACAATACTCAAATAATATATTCTTTATGCAAATTCCAGCAGTATTTGTTTGATATTTAATATGAATTGTTTATTTATTCCCTCTAAGTTATGTGTAGATCTTTCTCAATTATATTGATAATTGCTATCATAATAGTTTAAATGTCACCCTCTTAAAAATATGCACATAAGCTGTATAAAATAGGGAATGTGCCCACTGGGTTACTGTATATGTAATGCAGCTGAATTAATCATAAATATAAGACATTAAATGTCAGCATCTCCACTGTATGAGTCAAGGCTAAGTAAACCTATGCATCTCATAAGGGACTCAACCATAAAAAGCCATAAATAACATTATGTCCTTTTGGCAGGTGATTATAATTAGCTGATGTTCATATTTAAAAGGCCATCTCAATGAGTTGGTGAATATCACTGCTGTGGCTTCTGTTATGACCCTTCGACCTGGACTATTCAGGCTGGGAGAACTCAGCAGTAATCAGGTATTATAAAAAGAAGCCTTGTAATACTGTTGTCCATGCACATATAATTAAACAAATTCTAATTGGAATTTTTTTACTGTACTTGTAGCAGGTTCTAGCAGCTTGTCAGCTCCGTAACTAAGCTGAAAGTACTGTTAGGTGAATCCTGCCGTTCATCCATGTAGACAGATGTTGGATATACAAGATGTCAGAATCTCTTTATGGTTATATTTTTCTTAAAACCTATTTGGTCTTCCCAGGGGAGCTGTTCCGTCCCTTCAGAGCAAAGCAGCCTAACATTATAAAATAACAAAATGTCTTATATGCTCTGTGGTTTTTCTCAGATGTTCACTTGAGATTTGTAAAAACAAAGAGGAAAGAGAGCTGCTCTTGTAGAGATGTAGAGAGACAGCTTGCTGTGTGTGTGTAGGATCTTATGCTGACCTCCTGCTAGTATTTTATGGGCCTATTTGACCACTGTAGCCTATCCTGTGCCCCCATTTATTGTGATTGTATGGAGGTATTGAGGAGTTGGACCTATTAGTCGGGGAGCTGCCATGGCTGTCCAACTACCAATTACCATAGCCTGCAGCCGTGTATAGCCTGCCCTGATGCATCTGGAGGTAGGGAGGGGTGAGGGATGGTGCAAGGAGGGAAGGAAAAGGAGGCAGGAGGGGGGTTGGGGGTAGGGAGGTCCTCAGGAGGCCTGCCACAGCAGCATGCCGTTAATCAATCCGATTTAGACCGGACAGGGACACACTTAGCCACTGCTCCCGCCGATACACCCATGGTAGGGGAGAGAAAATGTGTGCGTGACCTGCATCTCACTGGAGTGTAAGGACACAAAAAGATGGATAGATGGGTCCAATGAAGAGATGGAGATGGGGTGGTGAATGGGAAAAGAATGATGGAAGGGGCGTGAGGCGTGGAGGGAGAGACAACAATTAATGGAGTGATGTGAGTTGAATAAAAACAAAGAAAATATATTGATTCATTTCTATCTTAAGGGGCGGAATAGAAATGTTCACTTCTACATGGAAGAAATACAAAGAAATACAGAGTTAAATTGATGGAATGTGCAAAAAAGCTCATTACTGGGTGGATAATGAGGAGCAATGGGTAGTTTAGTTGTATTTGATTTGATTTTAATGATCACAAGGGAGTCAGGGAGGCTTGATGACTGGTAGAGATGATGGACCATATCCTTAGTCAGATCCAGAACCAGAGCGGGAAGCAAGGATGGAGTGAGAGTATTATATTTGCATTCATTAATATGTATGCTCTTGTGTACTTTATTTTCCCCCATTAACTGGTCTGTCTGCTTGAATAGTTGGTTACTTACCCAATGAGTGCAATTTATTATAAGGAGATTTGCTTACTGGATACGGTAACAACGTGGGCCTGAAATAACAGAAACAATTAACAACATGCTCTCCATCCCTACAGTTGTTGGGGTGTAAGTAATTTTGAGGCTTCATTTGTCTCAATCTTTCATTGTGCTTTTTTCAGTGTTAAGCATTTAATACACAATGATTTTTTTCCATTTTAAATATATTTTAGTTTATTTTATACAGCTTCAGCTTCTGTTTCTTTGGAATTGGTGGTGTGATTTTCAGCTGCAAGTGGCAGCTGTTTTTTTTAAACGCTTGAGCAACCCAGAGACTAGTGAACATTCTTTAAGAGATAGTCAAGACCATTAGATTCATGAGGTGGACAGAAACATGACTACATGTTAGTGCTAATGTTGCTAATGCTCCTCTGTATCTGCTGCTAAGGGCAATGACAACTGTATGCTCAGACCTAAAGGCTCTTTATCCACTGTAAGCATGGGGCACTTACAGCTTTGCAAAACTCAATGTCTATATAGTCACAAATTACTCGAGGCAATAATGGCCACTAGATAAATTTTGCTAAAAACTGGTGAGTATATGATGTTGACAAACAGTGTTAAAAGTTATCTTGCAATAAACAAGTGTCCATATATCTGTACGTCTCTGTGTGCTCATTCATTGCATTTGCTGTAATTGCATGACAAATTAATTGATGTCTTCCCTGATACCATCCACACAGTCTGTCACTCACAGACTCTTCTCTGCAACAGGTGGATCAGCTGTGAGAGCAACAATCCTCTGTAAAAAATGATATTGGCCAGGAATGGTTATGCTCATAGATGGAGGTTTGAGGTCAAAGTTCAGTGCACATCTCATTTAGCTACTGAGGTCAAAGTTCACTGCACATCTCATTTAGCTACCCAGTGGCCAGGAAGGCATTTGTACTGATGACATTACAACAAGATCACAAAAATAAACTGGAAATAAAATAGCGCTGGTTACATCCAGATAAAGTGAAGATACCGGTTGCAGGTGTAAAATTAAACAATGGACTTTGTCACTACAGACTGTTTTCACGTTTCTCTGCTGAAGGAGGTAGTTGTGTGTATGCTCCCCTGAAATTGAGTTTCCTACATACAGAGGCAAACTAAATGTATGACGCCACAAACCTGAAATCCCTACAGATGATTTCAGGATGGGGTTGAGAAACATGAAACCATTGGTCGCAGACCTGAACCAGCTTTTTATTTACCAGCAGTGGGAGCAAAATCTTTAACTGTGCACAGTTTTTGGATGTAAACTGGATCCTGGAGCTTCTTTCCACTATTTACATCTTTACTATCATTAGTTTAAATGAGACATGCCAATGTTGGAGTATTACATTTGACTCCCTGAGTGTGAACAGTTACCCTGCTCCTAATAACTCGTGTCTCAGTACATTACGTTTTAAATCAACTGAGAAAATAAAGAAATATTGACACACTAGCAAACTCTTAGCCACTCTAAATACATTTGTCCATTTGACTTAATATGACAAGGTGAAAACATGCAGCAGAACTGTCTTTATAAAACTACTATGACTATGTTAGCCACTATATACAAACTAATACAAGATGCTAACCACAGTCACCAGACACCTGCTAATCAGTGATTCTAGTGAACAACAGTCTTCTGATCAAAATGAGGATCAGATAAGTTATATTTTTTACATGTTAATATTTTTATTTACATATTTGAAGTTACATAGTTGTATATATATATATATTTTTTTATATAATTACTTATTAGCTTTGAGATGCCACCAATGAGCCACAGTGCTCCAACACAGGCCACAAAAATTCTGCAAACCACACTCATGACATTAATTACCTTCTTTCTCTGTAACCTTTTTTATGCATGTAATGATTTTTTCCATTATTGAAATCTATGAACATATTTCTTGTCTCCATCTCAGGTGAGGGCCAGCGCCATTGCTCAAGATGCAGATCAGAACTACGACTATGCCTCCAACAGTGTCATCCTGCACTTGGATGTGGGGGATGAAGTGTGTGTGCAGCTGGATGGGGGCAAAGTTCACGGGGGAAACACTAACAAATACAGCACCTTCTCCGGCTTCCTCATCTACCCCGATTGACAGTATACTCCCATTTCTATACTCTCTCTGTCACCAAGCAAAAAGTTCCCTCTCCTTTCTGCATCTAACATGCCATGCTTCCATCATGTAATTTATCATTTCAGTGCTTGTCAGTACACAAATCTAAAACATGATCACAGTTAACAAATAGAGTTTGCAGAGAATCTGTGTAAAAATGAATATAGTATTGTATATATTACCAGTTAACATTTACTTCTGATACACACACTTGTGTAATCATTATTCTGTGCCATGTACAGTATATGTAAGCATGGCTGCAAGACATGATTAACATTGGTTCCACATGCACACATTTGCTTGTACAATACATACAGAGAGGCATGCAGCATACAAAGTGAACTTCCTCTGTAAGTTGGTACACAGACACAAGATGACCATTTGAGCCGCCGATCTGACATTGACTGAAATGATCTCTGAATGTAAACCACAAATTGAAGTGTGTGTATTTGGTGGAAGCATCTTGCTTTCACTGTGAGATGAATTTTCAATATGGCTGTAGACATGAAATGAGAAAAGTGATTAATATATTGATCATAACTGATAATGCAACTGACACTATGATCATAACCAGGTGTGTTGTATGTCTGTGTTCATGCAAGAGTGGAAGCAAACTGTATGTGTGTGCTTACTCTTCAGTTTGTGTTGAGGCGCAAAAGCATCCCGTTGCTGTTAGTTGCACAGTCTCTGGGAGGGGTGTCAAGTTGTCGGTAACAGTCCCTTAACACACACAGTATATTAATACTGAGGTTTAGCTTTGAGATTTTCTCCGAGCCAGCGCTTATGACAGAGTCTCTTGACGTCCTGCTAATGAGCTGAGGCTTCCTCTACAGTCGCATCTGTTCAGTCACACTCACACCTGACATCCATAGTTTGCTGTATAACTTTGACTTTAAAAAATAGTCTGACACTTTGGGAAACAAGCTTATTCTCAATCTAGCTGAGAGTTAGAGAACATTTATTCTGTCCCTCATGTCTGCTCAATAACCTACAATACAGACAGCAGCAAATTATCATTGGGTAGAAGTAGCTTGTATAAAATAATGTTGTTTGACCACATTTTGAAATACAAGTGTTCATAACTGTTCCAAACAGCCACAATAAAAAGGGGGAGTGAAAACTGTCAGTTGTAGAGAGGGAGGAGATGCAAAGTTGTTTTTAAATATGGGGACAGTCTCTTCTGGATGACATTCATAGCGCTGCACTCACTTGTTCACATGAAAAGTGTCCGAAATTGTTGTGTCATGAATGAAATAAAGAAATAAAGAGAAAAGTTCAAACCCTGGGAGGCAGTTTTTGAAGCTATTCCACCATCTGACAAGCAGTTCTTTAGAAGCTTACTGGCAGCTAGCCTGGCTTTGTACAACTTTTTTTTTTGTTTAATTTATACAAAAAAGTGTAAAATCAGTAATTTGTGGTTTTGCTGGTGGGTTGATTTTGTTACCAACAGACAGAGTCCAGTTAGCTATTTCTCCCTGATGATTTCTTTATGCTAAGCTAAGCTAAGTAGATAGTGGGTTCCAGCTTCATACTGTATTTACATACAGAAACAAGCATGGTATCATCTAACTCTCTGCAAGAAGCATGTCAAACTATTTTATTGCGAATGTAACTGTGAAAATGTGACAATGGTTTGAATATGTTTGTTTTACTGCCATATGCCATATCTATAGGTTTCTGTCTTATATTATTTATTTTATTTATTTATTTTTTTGTGGATGAGACAATTACCCATGTTTAAAGCAAGCTACATGAAGAAGCTCATCCATATGATACAAACAGCAATCTGATGAAAACCTTTCCATCCAAATGTTATTACATACTTGTGCAGCTTAATGCAGACATTAAAGCTACAGTAGGTAACTTTTTTTTTTTACTTTTTTCTCAAATATTTTTGTTGCTCCAAAACCTACCTTAATCTGGAGAGGTACTGTCGAAGCCTCCTGTGACCCAAACTCATTGAACAGCACTGGCTGCAGTGCAGAGATACAATATTAGCTAAAGGGTTTTGAGCAGGATGACCCCTCTAACCAATCATAAATTTTCAGTTATTTCTGCATTCTCATTCCTTGTAATTTCATAAGGGATAACATCTGAAGAGCTGGGCAGACTGTGGCGGAGCGTAGCAGGTCATAGTAGAGCACAGTGGAGCAGGGAGAAGGAGTGTTGGGTGGAGTGGAGTAGATTGGAGTTTCATGCTAGTACAAACTTAAGTTACATACTGTAGCTTTAACTGAGAAAAATTATGAATTTTTGTATGTAACTGCTCACATAAAAGCCCACAAAATGGAGTATAAGTCTCATTTTGTGTGGTGGGAAACGCCTCTAGACAAGAAGAAAAAGCGGCACATCACTGTGTTTGCATCCAGAAAAACTGAAATATGATACTGTAACCAAATTATTACTACTTAACAGTTCTATTGTTTTCATAATGTTATGCTTAGGTGGCTAACATGTAAAACTCATCTGAACACATGTATTGTAGTTTTAGAAGAAAAGAGCTTCATACTGGCCTAAGGATATACTTAAAATGTGTTAAAATGTGTGGCAGAGGCTGTATTTTCCCAGCAAATGCAATCTAATGCTGAAGCCGGAAGCATGGTTGTACCTTGATGAGATTATTTGTAATTCTTGTACTGTGACAAAAGAGAAAAAACCATTCTGATATCCTATGCTATACACAGGCATTCCCTCTGAGTGGCTTTGCCTTGTTGCATCGTACTGTGTGTGTTTGTTGGCGCTGTTACCTTTGTTCATGAACAGTGCGGAGTCATTGTTGTCACTGTACTTTGCAAGCTGATTTGTGTGTATTTGTTATGTTTGAAACGAGCATAGATTTTTCTCTGCCCTTGAAGACCATGAAACACAATAAAAAAAAGAAAATTCAAGATTATTTTGCTGTCACACTAAAAACTGCTTTCTTTGATCCTTTTGGTCTTAATTCTTTCCTTTTCCTTTTTGGGAAAAGCAAAAGTTTGTTTACATAATCTGAAACTTTTTCACTGCTCATTGTGTCATTGTTGTTGTTTTTAATTAAAATAAGCAACATTTTTGCAGCATTTATGTCCCACTCAAATCTTCTAGATCCAGGTTCAGACACAGTATTCATTAAAATACAGTTAAAAAGGTGGCCTGGAGATGCACAAAAAGAGCCAACAATAATCTCCCTGCTAGTCACTGGCCACTTTATTAGGTACCCCTGTACAATCTAATTTTATCCAATACAGCTATTCTGTCATATTGTTATCATATCTGTTATGATTCCTACAACGTTCCATTTTTTTATATAGTTAAGTGGTGTTAATTAATCATTGTTTTTTTCTTAATCACTGAAATCATAGTGTTGCTGGTAGTGTTGTACTAGATTGCATTATGTTCAGAGGTGTTTCTAATATTCCATCCTACAAATTTATGCAAATGGGAAGCACAAAAAAAAAACAAAAGAAAAGAGAAAACACCTGTCAATACAGTGCAACCCTGTACAGTACAACCTTTAACTGTGACAGAAACAAACAGCTGAATTTACATATTTCACAAACTGAACACTGGGATTCTTAAAGAATTTAGTCACAGTTTCAGTTGCAAAGGTTATGGTTAAAACATGGATCTTGATGTACAATATGACAGTACTGTTAGCAATAACACATAGATAGATACTTTTTTGATCCCGAGGGAAATTTGGGTATCCAGTAGCAACAGCAATTCCAAAATAACAACACCCAAAATAAAGAAATGTATAAAAGTGTAAGACTAAAATACAAAAAACAAGTATAAAAAATGGTCAATCAAAGGTGGGTGTGGCTACAGCTGACCCTGCTGTGTGGCTCTGGTGCTACCTGGTTGTGCCTCTGTCTAGTCAGGACGGACACGCTGTCAGAGTAGGCCTGTTCTTGTCTTGTCTACCTGAACTAAGACCTAAAAATAAACACAATTATTCATTATTACCACAACAACTATTAGTTATTATCATAATCACCAGCAGCAGTAGGCCTGTCTCCAGTGTTATTTATTTCTTTGATGTTAACTATTTTCTTCCCTTAACCTACCCAACTTGCTGAAATGTATTTTTTCTTTGCCTTCTTTAGAATGAACACACAAACACAAGGTCACATAAACGCCTATACAAAATAAATAAAATACACCATCTAAAATAATCACCAGCACACTTGACATTGTACCCCTTTAGTTTTTGTCAGTGTCTTGTATCCACTGGTTTGTTTTCTCTGTACTCACAGGTAACACAGTGACACAATTATACACAGCCTGTGTATAATTTTAAATGGCATCAACCAATGCCTTGTGACATTATGTATTGATAGGACTTACTGAAATGTCTGAGACCAAGCAGAATTACAGCAACTTGTATGAACGTAACTTTCCCATTGTAGGACTTTCTGTACCTGCCGGTGCTTCTGCCCTCTGTAAAGCCACCCAGGGAAAATGAAGCACTGGCTGAAGGGAGCTCTCATCTCACCAGAATAAAAACAAGGAGAACGAGCTTTAATTAAAGGTGAGAGGTACTATTCTGGATGAGGAGGTTCTTGCTGAATGTGGTGCAGATGAGAGGTTTGGGAGATGTAGACTTATGGGAGTCGATGGGGTTGTATCTCAGCAGTGGCTCCCTCCTTCTGAGTCCCAGTGCTCCCTCCTCGCAGATTCCACTGTTAAGTTAATTGGACAGGGAGAGAGAGCTGAGGAGGGAAGCGTTCAGCCCCATTAGCAATCCCCCATGGAAGGCTGAGCCGAGAGGATCACAGAATCACAAATAGCAGGATTAAAATAATCAATAGGCTTCACACTCTCTCCTTCAGCGTAGACGTGTGCATCACACACTGTCACACAGATATGCCTGTGTGCGCATGCACACACGCTCATAAGCAAACAAACACACGGTCAGTCAGAAGAATAAGGAGCACTACTCTCTTCATTGTTGTCTATGGACTTTCACAAATTAGCCTGGATCATGTAAGATCCACACACATACCTATTCTCTGTTAATGAAGGTTAATTTGAGCCTCTGAATAAATGAGGACCAGTAAAAAGGTCAGAGATGTGAAAACAGTCTGACACATCTATAGTTGCTCAGTTATTTCTGTACTTTTGTGCCTTTTTTATGGAGCATAATTCCTACAGGTTAGGGAGTATTTGCAACTGGGTAGTTATCTTTTTGTGTCTTATTTTGTTGTATATTTCATTCACTGATTTCCTTTGTCAAAAATCACTGTAAATGACTTATTTCTGGCAGTTGGACTGTTGCTGGAACAAAACAAGACAGAAAATGGCACTTTGGATGCATATTTTTTTCCACAATTATTTGACAATCCATAGACTTAAGCAATAAATTAATTATTCAAATAAATGTGACAACAACAAATGGCTGTTAAAACCAGTGGTTAGTAAGTCACACTCTGACTCTCCTGAGTGAATCAGTGTACATCTGGATCAGTGCTGTACAAAGTGTGAAATCTGTTTCAAATGATTTAAAGACAGTACCTTCATAGGTCAGGTTTTATTTAGTCAAGATAATTGTTAGTATTTGGCACAGTGGACATATATACCCAAATCAAATAGATGATTAGCAAATACATGATTAAAAACACAGTTTTAGTGAATACAATATGTATATACATTGTCACTGAATCAAAATATGGTATTTTAAAAATAATTTTGACTAAATGAATTATATTTCATTTAATTGCAGTTCCCAGAACCCCTACTGCTTTTCACAAGTGTCTCATCAACACTCTCACTCAGGTCGTGCTGCAGGAGCTCATTTAATTGCACCGGAGGTCATTCACTGCCAATTAAAAATTAAATTTCCTTTTTTCCCTCTTACTTTTTCTCCATGTGCAAGGCATAAGTAATAATGCATATGCCTGAACAACAACAACAACAACAACAATAATAATAATAATAAGAAGAATATAACACTGAAGTTGACCATTCTGCATAATAGCACTTTTACTATGTTTTGATAATTATACTTCAGTACTTGTATATAATACAGTTTTGAATAAAAACTAACTTCCAATATAAAATTTTTATACTATGAAGAGCCCTACTTTTTCCACCACTGGACAAGACAAGAACCTTGAGTAGGTTACCTTTTCTTTGGGTAGCTGGCTTTAAGGACATTTTGTTAACACTTAAATTAGATTAATTAAATATTTGTGACGTTTACTTGTAATAATGTATTTTTGATATGTGATTTTGTTATTTGTGCTTGCAAGTACGTACATTATGTGAATTCTCTACAGCACTCTGCCACCTCTTGTCAAACAACAGTCATCACAGCCCCGTATTGTCCAGCAGTTACACACTGCGGCCGCTGGGGGGCGGGAGACCTCGACTAGTTGTCTGCAGGCAAAGATGGCGGTGCGGAAGAAAGACGGCGGCCCGAATGTAAAATATTTCGAGGCGTCTGACACCGTTTCTCAGTTTGATAATGTCCGCGTCTGGCTGGGAAAGAATTACAAAAAGGTACTGACTGCATGTTTTGTAACCATACAGTCTGAACATACATTTTCCACCTAGTTTGGCAGAGGCAGTGACAAAGAGAGGAGGGAGGGTGCTGCTGAACGTCCAGCTGTTTGATTCACCCGAGCCGGGATACAAAAGGATGCTGAGCCAACAGCTGCACCAGATGCAGTCGTGAATGGCGGTATCCCCGTACGTTATTGTAGTGAACCCGACCTAAAAGGAACATACATTCTGGCCTAAGCGGATGATTTTTTGTAAAAGGGTTGACTTTGGCCATCCAACCAGCTAGCGAGCTAACTAGCTAATCTGCTAACGGTAATGCAGCTCAGATCCAGATGTTGGCTCTCTGTGGCGCGCCGCGCTGACTAGGAGCCATGGCCTGTAAGGAATAACATTGAACTGTCCTGGTGTTTAGACACGCAAGCGCAACAAAATCAGTTGTTGCTTTAAAAGCACGCCAACAATAATGATGAAATTGGCGACATTTATTAATTCATGCCCTCATCACATAGTTATTGCGTTACGCCATTGTTTCACACTCTCACTGATAAAACTGAAAGCTGGGCAATTTACAGTCTTTAACAACTACACAGAGCAACTCACACTGTAGTTTATTTCTGTGTCTGTTGACACACGGATGTCTCTCCTGAGCCTCGGCTCTGATTCTCTGTATTGTCCTCTCAGTACATCCAGGCCGAGCCCCCTACCAACAAGTCTCTGTCCAGCCTGGTGGTCCAACTGCTCCAGTTCCAGGAGGAGGTGTTCGGTCGACATGTCAGCAACCCTCCTCTCACCAAACTGCCGGTATATCTCCTTTATCCCAGTTGATCTCCCTCATTTAAACATATACACATCACTTTTCTCCAGTGAGACTCCCTGACACTGTGTTTTGTGTCTGCAGATGAAATGTTTCCTGGACTTCAAGTCAGGGGGGGCTCTCTGCCACATCCTGGCAGCCGCCTACAAGTTCAAGAGTGACCAAGGATGGTAAGACTTTCTTTCTAGCTGGTTGAAATGCTTGATAAACAAACTGAAAATAAATTTTGCTATCAAAATGCGCAGTGCTCAGTTGGATTTGGCTATGTTTCTGTTTCGTGTGTAACTCCAGTCTAATTTCCTGGTAGGCGCAGGTTTGACTTCCAGAATCCGTCAAGGATGGACCGAAATGTGGAGATGTTCATGACGATTGAGAAGTCCTTAGTGCAAGTGAGTTTGCCTCAGTGGCTGTTATTTCTATGTGACTGTTTCACATGTTAATTATGTAAGTGTTGTCATTTTGTGTAATTGGAGAGAGGTGATAACTGTGCTTATATTTTTTTTCATGTGAAAGACATTGTTATCCCCACAACTACCAGTAATTTCTAAAATCACTGATATTTTAGAAGGCATTAAAAATCCACCAGGAATTTGTTTTTTCCCTGCTGCAGGCACCAAAGCTAAATGATGTCTGTTTGAGAGGTTACATGTCTCCTCTGTTTACATCATATTTATGAAGCATCTGAGAATCATCCTGCCTGCATCTTACAGACAGAAATAATGAAGGGCACCCAGTCATGTGACTTGACCAGGAATCCCTCTTAATCAGTCACATACTTGGACTACAAGATCCTCTGGTTCACTTCAGCACATAGCACTGATAGAGCTCTTGTTTTAAAGGAATTGTATATGTATGTTTTTTCCTGCTTATTTAAAATTATGCATGTGAAAGTCTTACTTTAATTAATTCACATTTCTTCATTTCAGAACAACTGCCTGAGTCGACCTGTCATCTACCTGAGCCCTGACATAGAACCAAAGCTTCTCGGGAAACTGAAAGACATCATCAAAAGACACCAGGTGTGGGTTTCTTGTTTTTAAATGTTAGCATTATATACGGGAGTGTTACTCCAAGTGCAAAACTTGTTGCATTGAAGGCTCTTAGTTAAATTAAATTTTATGCTAACCTGTTATTTGTCTTCTGGGCTTGGTTGCAGGGCTCAGTGACTGAGGACAAGGCCTCCAGCTCTCATGTTGTTGTGCCTATTCCTGCCAGTTTGGAGGAAGGTGAGGCCACGACTTCTTTAAGTGCAGGGCGTCGTATTTATTGCAACTTCTGCTGCATTGGCAAGATCTGTGCTAATATACATTCTCTTTGTTGTTCAGAAGAGTGGGTGCGTCCGGTAATGAAGAGAGACAAACAAGTGCTGCTACACTGGGGATATTTTCCTGACAGGTTTGTCCTGATTTGATGCCCAGTTCCACAGCAGAAGTAGAAAGATGTAAACACAATATTTACACCTAACTGAAAACTGTTGCCTCATCTTATTGTGAATCATGTTTTCTTAGAGCTGCTTCCTGACATGAACTTAGCTACACATTGCTCTACCTTATGTGGTTTTACAAGCTGTAACCTGTGATCTTTCCTATGCCTTGACCTTTGACCTTGCTTCTCTAACTGTTTAGCTATGACACCTGGATCCCTGCCAGTGAGATCGAGGCTGCTGTGGAGGACCCTCCCAGCCCAGAGAAGCCCCGAAAGGTATCTCAGTTCTTGTTGTACTGTCTTTAGTATGGTGGTAAAGTCCAGAACTTTTTTGTTGTTGCTTCTGTGTCTGTCATTCTGTATTCATTTTAACAATGCAAAATCTTTTTTAAAATGTTCTGTCCCTATGTTTAAATAATAATAATATTCCACAGTGTTCAACTACATAATCTACATATCTTGTAGCTGCACATTCCAGCCCTTTATTTAGTTTATATGACACTTTGAGTAAAGTAGTCAAATCAGAGATTCAGTTTTTTATGGATCTGTGATGATGCCTTGTGCACCATTTTATGTACAGGGTTTTTGGTCTTCTCTTTACATTGGCAAAAAATTTAAATAAAGCACTTGTGCTTTTCTGTACAACATGAATCTGCAATACTGAAAGTAAATTTTATGTGTCTCAGCTTTTTGTTTTACAAACCTGTCAAAAGACTGTACACTGAGGTGATCACTCCCTAACCATCTAAGAATGAGGTTTTGTAGCAAATTGGCACTTGGCACATCAGAGCTGACTATAAATTCAAAGCAGGGTCTGAAGCTCTTACCATGTATCACTCAGTCAAGGTGTTCAGTGCTCAGTAGGACATGATAGTAAGTGCAAACTGACATAATTGAATCCTAAAAAGCTGCTAATATTATGTAAATAACTGTTAAATGTAGAGCTGTACCTGACTAAGAATTTTGTCAATCGACTAGGATTCAGATGGATTTGATGTGTGCCAGCTTGCACTGCTAAAGAATATAAGAATATATATATTTATGATTCCTCTTATTTATAATTTCTCATTGAAATGTTTACCCAGCGCATTTTTGTTTATGGAAGCATAAGATAAACGGCTGTGCATTAAACTTTAACGAAGATGGGCAAAAAAACTGAACGCACATAGACCACAATGTTTGAAAACACTTCTAATAAAGTACAAATCTCATCTTTATATGGCTTGTCCTAGTGGGTTTTGTTGTCTTTTTCTCCTCATTCTGGGCAGCAGTTTGCTAAATATGTCCATGCACTGGACAGTGTCACCACTGAAGGCCACTATGCGGTCTTTATTCACAGGTCCATGCTAAGTGGATCTTAGATCTGGACCAGTATAATGAGTGGATGAATGAGGAGGACTATGAAGTGGGAGATGGCTGCCCTAAGAGGAAGAGGATCTCAGCCAAGACCCTAACAGATGAGGTGACCACGCCGGACGAGCGGAGGGACAAGAAACCTGGCAGCGCCAAGAAAAGGAAGCGCTCGCCGTCGCCCTCCCCGACCCCTCCACCTCAAGAGAGCAAGAAGAAGAATACTAAGAAAGGGTTTGTGTGCATCTATCTATCTGTCCATCTATCTATCTATCTATCTATCTGCTGAGACATTATACTGAGACATTATAGAGTCTAGTAAAATCATGTTCATTGTGTGTGCGGCCAGGCCAACAACCCCGTACACCAAGTCTAAACGGGGCCAGAGAGAGGAGGAACAGGAGGATCTCAGTAAGGACTTGGATGAAGCATCACCTATTCCAGCATCTGAAGAGGGAAACCCGACTAAGACAAGTACACAAGTCCATATACGCAAACTATAAACAAAAATAATCATACAGCCAACTCCAATAATGGATGACCATTAAAATTAACCACAGTTGCCTTTTTTAAAGACCTGAGTAGATGTTGTCTGTTAGTATTGACATTTTACCATCTTATTGCAGATAACACCAAGAAGGACTCTGATTCAACTCCAGTCAAGGGAGGAGCTGATATGGGTGAGCAGAAAGTTTGTGTGTCTCCTCCATCATGGCTACCTGAAGCTACTTTTAAAATGTCACGTGAATTTCTGGCCATATGTCTCTCGGCTCATCTGTTCTATATTCATTTATGATTTTAACAGATGAGCAAGAGGATGAGTCCATGGAAACAACAGGCAAGGTAAGGTATCTTGTAAAAGTACAAGAAAATTTTACAGTGATGACAATAAATCCTAGGGATGTCCTGATCCAGTGTTTACTGATTAATATAGCAGCTTACTGGTTGTGAGACACATGCATCTCAACAAGTCAGCTCAAATACAGGACTGTAGTTCTACATATGGATCGGGATTGGATCGGCTCTATTGTGGCCGATGCAGATCCTGTCAAAATGCCTGAATCGGCGCCTATACTGATACTTACTACTGGATCAGGACATCTCTAGTAAAATCATTTGTCATCTTGAAAGAGAGAGGGTGTGTGTGTTTAAGCAGGAGGAGGAGGAAGGCTCTCCGAGTGTGAAGGGTGAACCAGTCAAAGGTTCAGACCTTCACGAGGACAACGTGACAGAGCAAACCCACCACATCATAATACCAAGCTATGCTGCCTGGTTTGACTACAACAGGTAAAAAAAAGTTTCTCTTTCAGTTTTCCCCACTTCTCGGAGTAAACTGATTTCAGAGATGTTTATTTGTAAAATTCAAACATGTGCAAAGACAGAACTAAAACCTAAAGGTGGCTTTGGCTGTTGGCATTTTGTTTGGATAGAAAACCAACTGGAGATTTTTTAGGTGACTTATCCAGCTATGCTTGAGCAGCGAGTCACACTGTAATTGTTTTCTTTCCAGTGTTCATGCCATTGAGCGCAGAGCCCTGCCAGAGTTCTTCAATGGGAAGAACAAATCCAAAACCCCTGAGATGTAAGTAGTTGATCAGTATACAACATAATATTTAATGTTTTTATTACAGGTGTGTGAGATTAAACATTTTAAAAAGTAACCACAACAGTAAATCTTATTTTAATATGTACCGTCTTCTTTCAGTTACCTGGCCTACAGGAACTTCATGATCGACACCTACCGACTGAACCCCCAGGAGTACTTGACCTCCACTGCCTGCCGCAGGAACCTGGCAGGAGATGTGTGTGCGATCATGAGGTGGGTGGAGGCTGCATGTGAGCAACATCATCAGTTGATCCAGAGTCGGGATCTACACAGTCACTTGTTCTGTGCTCCTTCTGCTGCAGAGTCCACGCCTTCCTGGAGCAGTGGGGTCTGATAAACTACCAGGTGGACTCTGAGAGCCGGCCCACACCCATGGGTCCCCCACCCACCTCTCATTTTCATGTCCTGGCAGACACTCCATCCAGTTTGGTGCCCCTGCAACCTAAGACGTCTCAGGTCCATATACAGCCACATACAGATACACAGAGACAAACAGACACATGCACACAGATTGTCGGGTATTTTACTTTTGTTCCTCTTTCACTATGTACCTGTAGACCCCTGCTACCCAGCAGATGATATCATTCCCCGATAAAGTGAAGGATAAACCTGCAGATTTGCAGAACTTTGGACTGTGGACTGACATGTACAGTAAGAAGACTGCCTCTGCTAAGGTACTCGTCATAGAGGGCTCGTGGTAGGGGGATTGCCATGCTGTAATTTATGACAACATATTATGAATGACATAATATATTAACTTAGTGGTGGTGATGTTTTTCTGTGCAGAGCAAGAGTTCAGCAAGCTCCATGAGGGAATGGACAGAGCAAGAAACACTACTACTACTTGAGGTGCAAACAGTCATTAAAATAAATGCTGTGACAATGAAACAGCAGCACCAGCATAAACACAAAATATGTTTTCAAATCAGTCGTAGTAATACCTAATATTGAAAGTAACAATAAAACAGTAACATGGAAACGCAGAGCTAAATATGATGCTCACTCTTCTCAGGGCTTGGAGATGTACAAAGACGACTGGAACAAAGTGTCAGAACATGTTGGCAGTCGTACCCAGGATGAGTGCATCCTGCACTTCCTGCGGCTGCCCATCGAAGACCCCTACTTGGAGGACAGCTTCTCATCCCTGGGACCACTGGCCTACCAGCCGATCCCTTTCAGCCAAGCAGGGAACCCTGTCATGAGCACGGTGGCCTTCCTTGCTTCTGTAGTCGACCCACGTGTGGCTTCAGCTGCAGCCAAATCTGCTCTGGGTGAGAACTGGCTTGTTTTGAAATTTCCCTGCTGTACAAAGACACAGAAACCTGTCTGTTAATATTATGTACAGCCACCTGAAAAGCAGATGGATTTTGCTTCACATTGGTGACCTCAGTCTGTCTCCTTCTCAGAGGAGTTTTCTCGTATGAAAGAGGAGGTTCCTGCAGCTCTTGTTGAAGCTCATGTGCGGCGGGTGGAGGAGGCAGCGAGGGTCAGCGGCCGCCAGGACCCTTTGTACGGCTTGGAGGGCAGTGGCATCGCAGGCACTGGCCTGGAGGAGGGAGAAAGACCTGGTAGGATGGAAACTTACACATACAGCATGCATATAATATCCAAACTTTGAGACAGTAAGAGAGTAAGAAACATAACATCTTTGCAGGTCAAACAGAAAAAGACAGAACAAAACAAATATGCAAATTAAAGGTTGTGACTCGTCTCCTCTCTTGGCCTCCAGATGAAAGCAGTGATGAAAGTAAGAGTGACAGCCAATCAGGTGAAGAGAAGAGGGAGGCTAAGGTATGAAGCATGTTCATTATAATGCCATGTTTCTCAGTTGTAATAGTTCTGCTGATGAATTGCAAAGCTCACTGCAGTGTCACTTCCCTGATAGGACAACAAAGATGGAGCAACTGAGGAAGAGGAGAAACAGACAGAGAATGGGAAGAAGGAAGAGGAGAGAGGAAGAGAACCCGAGGGAGAGAGAGAGGCAGACAAAACCGAGTCCGAGATGGGTACGAAAATGCATACAGTAGGAAAAAGAGTTCTTGCTGGTTGAAAAAAGGTAGTAATTAGTTTGTTCTTTTTCTCTAAGGTGATAAGGAGAAAGAGGGAAAAGAGGGAACAGAGGAAGGGCAAAGAGAAGGAGAAAGTGAGGGAGAAAGGAAGGCCAAAGTGGAACGTGACGTTGGAGAGGGAAATCTTGCCACCGCTGCTGCGTCTGCTCTCGCTGCTGCTGCTGTCAAAGCCAAGGTAAAGTTAATTATCAACTGGCTGTATCATTCATCACCTTTTTTCTTCTCTCTAATTTTGACTCCTCTTCACTTTCTGAATAGCACCTGGCTGCAGTGGAAGAGAGGAAGATCAAATCTCTGGTGGCACTGCTGGTGGAGACCCAAATGAAGAAGCTGGAAATCAAACTGCGACACTTTGAAGAACTGGAAACCATCATGGACAGAGAGAGGGAGGCTGTGAGTGAGGGATTTGGGGATATGTAGTATCAGCAGGCAGTAGAAAGCCTAATTGCAGTTCTTACAGTGTAGTTTGTGTGTGTGTTTTTCTGTGTGTGTGCAGTTGGAGTATCAGCGGGTGGCGGACCGTCAGTCTTTCCACATGGAGCAGTTGAAATACGCTGAGATGAGGGCCCGCCAGCAGCACTTCCAGCAAATTCAGCACCAGCAACACAGCCAAGCCGGGGGCCCTCATTCCAACCAGGCCGCCTCAGGTCCACAATCCCAGGGCCTAGCTGCAAGTCAACAAGCTCCTAGCACACCAGCGCCACAGCCGGCCCCTAGCCCTGCGCCTCCAGCCTCTTCTGCCCCAGCTCCTGAGTCCCAGCCTCCTCAGGGCACTCACACCTCACCCCCCTGCCTCCCAGGCCAGGCCCCGGGTGCCCACTCCAGCTCTAGCACTACACCTGTACTCCACGGTGAGGTTTAAGTTTAGCAGATACGTATGCTATGATAAAGACAAAACTATTCCTACTATATCATAGCTGTATAGTTAACCTAATATATGTCAGACTGATCAGCAGAATAACTTTTCAAACATCTTTTATCATTTTGTTTTGAGTTAGTGTTCTGACTTATTTAAGCTAACACTACAGTTAACAATAATTGTACCTGAGCACTTAAAACAAGGAGAAAATGTTATGTTCTACACTACCAGTCACATATTTGGACATATGCTTCCTGGCAACTTTATTGGGTAACCTGTACCATTGTATGCAATTCAGTGCAACCCATCTTGCCTTAACATGTGTTTATGAAGCTCAGCATGTTTCAGTTTTTGGTGAAATTGTCATAAATGTATAAATTCAATTATATGTTCATTATTGAGCTCATAGTTAAAGGTGGTGTTGTCCTGGACTACATTATATTCAGAGGTGTTCCTAATATTCTGACCCTCTCATATATGTAGCTGGGGAGGACAAAAATATAGACACCTCTGACATGAATACGGTGGCTGCCATTTTGCCTTTTTGCAGCCAGATTCTGTGCAATAGTGACCAGAAGTGGAGTGACAGCATCAGACCATCAGTCAAAGCTGCCAAATTAACTAAAATACAGCTTTTTTAAATATTATCAAACAACTTATTAAAATCAATTGTACCAAAAAAATGACCACTCATATACACACTAGTGTGATAATACCTACCAAAAACCACAGCAGGGACTTCTGGGAAAAATATATTTGATTTGTACTTTTGAGTTTTTTTGTTTCGCTCATGTCCCATCTGCTAACATGGAGGAGCTGGGATTTGTGATCTATACTTCAACTAGCCACCAGGGGGCGATCGCGTTGTGGGGGGCTTCACTTCTGGGAGCTCTTAGCCTGTCCATCGTTTGTACAGTTGATGGTCCAAACCTTTGACTGGTAGTGTAAATCCACGGTTTCAAGTCAAATTCTTATTATTTTTCATCTTTCCCTTCCTTTCACCTCCTCACAGAGCCCAGTGCCCCACTCCCTGGGGAAACACTCCACCCCTCAGCTCCAGTCCCTCCTCCACAGTGAGACGTCCACAATTGCCCAAGAATCCGAATGACTCTGACCACTCCTGCCTGTATCACCTGAAATGAAGAATTCATAAATCGAAGGAAGAAAACACATGATACATTTTCAGCATTTTTAAAATTTCTAACAGGACAATTGATTGAAAAAAGAAAGAAAGTAACGTTTAAGTAAAACCACCTCTATTTTAAAATTCTGTTGAAAAAAAGGTCCCTTTCAAACTGATTCGGCCAATGGAGAAAAGTGATTATCTCACAGACTATGTGGTCGAATGGACCACGCCAGAGATCTGGTCATCTAAGAGGGTCTAACCCATGTGCTGGCACTTCAAGGGGAAGAGAAAAGACTCATCTGGTGTTTTCAGTGTTATGAAAATCATTGCATTTATTTTCCTGCAACAGTTGATCACAGCTTCATGTCTTTAGAGTTTCCCCCTTGTACTGTTAGGTACTAACTAACATATATGTAAGAAAAAAAATGCACTTTTAATATGTTTCCCTAGGTCTAATTGAAAAACTTGAAGCATCCATGAAATTGAACTTTAGCACTTATATTGTCCTTTTGTTATTTTTCATACTGAAGCTTTTGGAAACTAGATTGGGGATGTTACTTTTACCTCTCAACTTTTTTGTTTGTGTTACATCGACATCAGTCACTCTACAGGGTCTGGCCTCGAAGGTCACGTTTCGAAGCAACGGTTTTCCAGAGAAAAGTCTGTAATGAACGAAAAATCATCAAATCAGAAGCCAGAAATTACGTTAAATTTGTTTGGATGCAGTTTGTGAAATGTACAGTAAACTGGAGTTTCTGTTACAGACACACCTTTTGTTGCTCTGACAGTGTGAAGTCCTGAAAAGATTTCATCTACCAAATCATGTCCCTGTTCCACAGCACTTATAAATGTGTCAGTGAGGAGCTTCAGTTTTGTAAATCTGGATGAACTCAAAGCATCCAAGTTGTAGTTTTGTGAGGAATGTAGTTTAGTTCAGATAAAATGACTGAAAAAGAAGAAGTGCTGGGAGTAAGAATTATATCAGCGACCGCAAATGTGTTTATCCATAATATGACTTTGTGTTACTTGCTAAACCAAAATGTTTTTATAATCACATTTATCTTACATTTATTCAGTGAGTTTTATTGTGGTTGCTCGGGAAATGAAGAGCATTTCTAGCAGCTTGTTTTTCACTGGTGCGTTTGAAGTTACAGATGGAAGAAATGCTGTTGAAAACAAGGGAACTCGTACCTTAAACAGCTGACAGTGGAGAATTGTGTCCTTAATATCCACAACAATATCCTCACTTTTTATCGTATCGGTTTTTATATTTTTTGCTGTCCATTTTTCCATCTTCTTTTTTTTGATATGCCAACATTGTAACTGTACATTTCTACCTTTGTAGCCTGTATTTACCCTCTCCACTGGTGTATATGATTCGGACAGCTCTGTTGGATCCATGTGAGGTTTGACTGTGAACGTGTGTATGTGAACGCATGCCATTACAATCTGTAAACCACATTACCGCTCAGTTTTATTTTCAGTGCCATTTGGTGTGTGTCACCAGGTTTGAAGGATTTTAAAAAAAAAAAAAAAACATGCTCTGTTCTGCACATGTCATGTCAGTGTCATGAAATGTAATCCTGTCAGATTGGTGAAACTTTACAGTCAGTGTCCGTCATGCCAGTATTGCAGTACTCACCACGGTTGTGAGCATAAATTGACTTATTTTGTCTGTGTTATTACTACATTGTGTGGATTTTGTGATAAGAAACGTGTCTGTTTTTCACTACACTGAAGGTAGCAGCAATTGCATCGATTATTATACAGTAGAAATCCATTTTTTTCCTCAGTAAATCATCACATTAGTGCTGACAGTTACTCTGGCAGTTTGTATTTTAAAAAAATTGCAAAACAAAAAAGGTTCAGGTTTTAATTACAAAAATGTTAGGAAAAAATAAAGACTTGAAGAGGACCTGCTGTGTAATCTTTTCTCAGCTGCTTCACGCACTGCTCGCACAAATAGAGATCACACAAGAAACTAAACCTACAAATTAATCAGCTAGTTTCCAGGTTTATCAGGACACAGAGACTTGAAGATTTGTCACACTGTTGTGTTTTCAGCTGAGCCCAAAGACTTACCACTACTACACCTTTTTCTCAGCACACATTCACTTGTCAGGCAGACAAAGCACAGGTGTTATCAATGACATTAACATCATCATGTGGCTCTTCTGCTACAACACAGACTAGTTTGTGACTATGATGCTAAAGTCCCAAGTTAAAAATAAGAGCGGCTTCTTTGAAAGAAACATTCAAATGTTTATTGTGGGGTTTTTTTTTTGTTAACCTCTCAACTGATGCTTCATTCCTGATTTTGGACAAAGGTGACAAGAAAATCCAAACTCGCTTGGTTGATGATGTTCTACAGGTGATCAGGAACGTAAAAAGTTTGAAAATCTGCAGCTCATGAGCAATCTCCAGGACAAGTGACTACTTAAGTAAATCATGAGTTTGGTCTATTTTGAATCTTATTTCAGGGGTGAAAGACAAATCAATATCTTTACTAAAGTGCAAAAAAGAAAAAAAAATCAGTCAATTTAAAATGTCTCATATGATGGCTCTAGCTGATGATTTGAGTTAATGCTGCTGCATCAGTGTATTAGCATTTATTTTTTGGGCTCTTCTCTAAGATTTAGTTTGAGGGGTTTTGGGATTCAATCTGATAAGTACATGTGACAAGGCCTCAACCAAATGCTTCTTTTGAGCCAGAGGTCACAAGACAGAAGGCCTGGAAGCCAGTGTTCTTTGATAAAATACTGCACTTCATAAGGTGTATGTTTATTTACTTGTAAAGTAAGCAGCACCTAAAGCCAGTGGTGAAAGAAGCACTTTCCACTCATGTAAAACTAGCAATTGCAGTGTAAAATTCTTAGCATCAAATGTATTGAAAGCAGTAAAAGTACTCATTATGCAGAATGGCACAGTTCAAATTACTAAAGGGTAGTTGAAGTACTCAGATTTTATTAATCTGATTCTGAACAATATTTTTCTGAAATTTAACAGTCTCAAGTATGAAGCAACAAAATAAATACTTAAGTACTGGTAATTCGAATGTGCTAAAGTATATGGGCTACTACTACTTGGAACTGAATTTGTACTTAGCAGGTGTTTTCACTAGTTTGCTATGCATCATTGATCTTCATCACTCCTAAGTCAGTTTTGAGTGTACAGTCATATTAAAATGGTTGACTTTTTGCATCATTCATGTTGAATGCATAATCGGCTGCTGCTTTTTCTCGTTGATGTAAAACAGTTTATTCCTTTTAACATGTTTGTGATTACCATGTACTTTACTATTAATCTATTTACATTTTCCAGATTTTTTTAAGAAGTTTAAAAGTTCCATTCTATATTCCTAATATTTTTGATTGTATTTTAGGAATATTTATACAGTATCTTCTTTGTGATATTTTTCTAATGCTTCAACAGGTGCAGAGCACGGTCATCTCACACCAAGAAGGTTCAAGTCCTGACCGGGAACTTTCTGTGGGAAGGTTTTGTTCTCCATGTGCATGCGTAGGTTTTCTCTGGTTTCTTCCCGCAGCCCAAAGATATGCAGGCTAGGTTAATTGGTGATTCTAAAATGCTGTAGGTGTGAGTGGGTGTCTGTCTCTGTGACTGGTGAGCTGTCCAGGGAGTACCCCACCTCTCACCCCCTGTCAACTGTGACCCCTCTACAGGGCAAGTGGTAGAGATAAGGAATGGATTTTACTTTGATACCCATTGTTCTAATGCAATATTTAACCTATTTAAATACTTGATTTATGCACAGGCTAAAAGACACTGTACACAAGAATGTTTATTCAATAGATAAATGTAACATGTCCACCAAAAGAAAACCACTTAACGAGACTAAATGGTGTTGACTAACAAAAGGTTGAGCAATCATAGAAACATTATTGATTGTACCTGTAGTGGAATAGCATTTCGATAAGGAGATGAAAAGGGTTTCTTCATAGCAAACAGAAATGACACTTCTGAAATAAACATCTAAAATAGAACAAATAGGATGAAAGAGGGCAAGACAAAATTACAGCAGGAAGCATGTTTCTGAAATCCTCAACCGCTCATCACCATGCGGACGAGTTCTGCAAGGAGAGAGAAACATACCATCAGAATAAAGGCTGAAGCTTAAATAAAAAGAACAGACTTAAGATGCAACATCTGTCAAAAGATACAAGATCTCTTATTAGCTGCAGCAGACATTTAGAAACCTGCAACTGGTTGGGATCAGCAGCTTTATTTCTCATTCAGCTTGAGCTACCTCATTACATTAAAAAAAAAATTAAAAAAATACTGTAACTGCTACAGTGCACTGCCACCGAGTGTTAAGATGTGTACAACGGGTCTTCTGCACTACCTAGCTGAAAGTGAGGCCCTTGGGCAGAGATGAGTTTCTAAACTGTTCCTTTGTTATAGTCAGAACAGTGAGAGACTCTGCAGCACTTCTCATAGCCTCTGCTCAGCCAGACCTGATGTGGCCAACGAAGGCTGAGACAAGAACACCAAATCAGTGAGCATGTGTCAAAGGATTTTGGGAACTGAAGACAATGTCATGCTGCACCATACAGTGCTTACAGTCTGATTTACTTTTAAGGTATCCAAGTACACCTTTCCACATACTGTAAAATTTTACCTTCATAATTAATGTAGCCATTGGCATCTTCATGTCCCGCTAAAAGAGTCTCCACCTCATCCTCTGTCATTTTTTCACCTGCAAAAACAATTGCTAAATATTTTAGGGCACAATAAAGAAAAGACAGCAGTCTTGTTTGCAGCTTTTTTGGCAGATCGTAGTAGCTAAAGGGATTTTACTGAAAAGTGCATAACGAGACATGGGCTAGCTGTGTGTGTTGCAGATATTTGAGGTCTTACCTAGTGAGGTGAGGACATGGCGCAGCTCTGCTCCCATCACTGTACCATTTCCCTCCTTGTCAAAGACCCGCAGACCCTCTACAATGTCCTCAAAGGAGCCCTGGTCCTTGTTTTTAGCAATGGCCTGATGCATGGGCAGGAACTGTTCAAAATCCAGCGTCTTGTGGTTCATCTCTGCAGGAGAAGTAATTAATAAAAGATGAGGAAAAGTCCCCTTTAAATAAATAAAAAAAAAAAATTCATTTTCTGTATTAAGAATATTTTCAAACATTTTCAAACAGAAACTAAAACCAACAGTGAATACCTCTACTCTGTTAATGCCTGCTAGTCTCCAACTTTGATTAGGTTCCTAATCTGTGCCATAGACCTCTGTTTGCCTTTAAAAACACAGTGGGTGACATGTTTCTAAATTAAAACAAAACACAAACCTGCATATTTAATAAAAAGGTTGCCCCCAAAGCTCCCAACAAGTCTAATGCTTTACAGTATTTGAAGTAGAAAGTCAGCTGCGCATGTGCCTTTTACCAAGTGTCCGACCAAACACAAATAAGCAATGTTACCTAGCTGAATGAATGATTACTGAAAATCTTGCATATTTACATAAATTTAATACACTTGGACAATATCATTGCCTGGAAAAATATTAAAAGTATCAATGGTGCATGTTGCATACAAGTGCACGTATACCAACTACTGTCAACATTAGAGCCACATCTCCCCTCAGACTTAAGAACAACTGAGAGCTTATTTAGACTGTGGATTTGCAGGGTTTTGAACTGCTCATACTGCAAAAAGAAAGGCTCTATAAACTTATGGCTACTGAATCTCTGAGGTTGTAATGAGGAATTATAACTGTACACCAAACCCCCACTGTTAAACAAAGCAATGATGTAATAGGTTGAATTGCTTGGGTTAAATCATGTAAACAGTGTGTCAGAAAGGTTTACCTTCCAACTTGGGGTTTCCCAGGACTTTGAGCACCTCAGCATTGACAGGGTTCTGTCCAAGGGCCCGCATAACATCACCACACTGGCTGTAGGTGATCTTGCCCTCACCTGTCCGGTCAAATAGGAGGAAGGCCTCCTTGAACTCTAACAGGGAGACAGAGAAATGGAGCTCACATACAGTTGTACAGTACATATTTAAAACACTATTCACAAATCTCAAAAAGACATGCAAACATCTAACAACCAAAAGCTCAGTTCTGCAGACATGTAATTTTACTGTGCAGTAGAACTGCTACTTTTCCCACTACATATGTTTTAACAGGACACGCAAGTGATTAGGTTTATGCATCTTCAAAGCAGCATGGCAATTCTTACACTGCTGTGCAAGTAGATATCCTATAGTTCATTCTGTTGTTGGTGGTTGCATGCTGTATCAGAACCAAAAATTAGCTGTGAGCAATACCAATGGTGAAATCTCATTAAGAGAATGGTTTACTAAAGCCACAAACTGCACCTGCATGATTATATACAGGCCCATAAACAGCTTAATGAAAGGAAAAATATTCTTCCAACAGCAGATATTAGGATGATCTCCAGAGGTTTATATGTGGTAAAAATCACTGGTCTTGTTTACTAGTTTCTTCCCCACCTGTGCATTATTCCCTTTATTATAATGATAATAATAATGTTCTGGTATTGTGGTTCTGGATCTAATCCTGGTATCAGATCAGAGATATAAATGCTGAAAACAGAAAAATCTGCTTTCTTTAAAAGAATAGTCTCACAAACTCATCACCTGAAGCTACTCTTGTCAGTGTCGATGGGTGTGAGGCTGTTGGAGAAAACGTTACCTTTTTTAACCTATCTAACCCCAACAAGACGCCTACAGTTTTTGTGTTAAATACCACAGAGTAACTACAGTGCCTTGCGAAAGTATTCGGCCCCCTTGAACTTTGCGACCTTTTGCCACATTTCAGGCTTCAAACAAAGATATAAAACTGTAATTTTTTGTGAAGAATCAACAACAAGTGGGACACAATCATGAAGTGGAACGAAATTTATTGGATATTTCAAACTTTTTTAACAAATAAAAAACTGAAAAATTGGGCGTGCAAAATTATTCAGCCCCCTTAAGTTAATACTTTGTAGCACCACCTTTTGCTGCGATTACAGCTGTAAGTCACTTGGGGTATGTCTCTATCAGTTTTGCACATCAAGAGACTTAAATTTTGCCCATTCCTCCTTGCAAAACAGCTCGAGCTCAGTGAGGTTGGATGGAGAGCATTTGTGAACAGCAGTTTTCAGTTCTTTCCACAGATTCTCGAGTGGATTCAGGTCTGGACTTTGACTTGGCCATTCTAACACCTGGATATGTTTAGTTTTGAACCATTCCATTGTAGATTTTGCTTTATGTTTTGGATCAGTGTCTTGGTGGAAGACAAATCTCCGTCCCAGTCTCAGGTCGTTTGCAGACTCCATCAGGTTTCCTTCCAGAATGGTCCTGTATTTGGCTCCAGCCATCTTCCCATCAATTTTAACCATCTTCCCTGTCCCTGCTGAAGAAAAGCAGGCCCAAACCATGATGCTGCCACCACCATGTTTGACAGTGGAGATGGTGTGTTCAGGGTGATGAGCTGTGTTGCTTTTACGCCAAACATAACGTTTTGCATTGTTGCCAAAAAGTTCGATTTTGGTTTCATCTGACCAGAGCACCTTCTTCCACATGTTTGGTGTGTCTCCCAGGTGGCTTGTGGCAAACTTTAAACGACACTTTTTATGGATATCTTTAAGAAATGGCTTTCTTCTTGCCACTCTTCCATAAAGGCCAGATTTGTGCAGTATACGACTGATTGTTGTCCTATACACACTCTTGTGTGTTACAGCCTGCTCAGTGTTTTATAACTAAGGTGTCACTTTATTTTTAAGCTCATTTAATAAGACAAGTTGAACCAGAACAGACTCATTTGGAGCAGCATAGAAACACATACAGTACACACATGGATCACTGTGTAGAGCTATGGGCAGCTTCTGCACAACTTCTATAATTAATTAAAGTCCCACTCCAGAAACATTTTCATTTTTATATTTGTATATAAAAATACTTTACTATAAACAATATGCAGTCTAACACAGCTTTTCCTCAAAAAAATTTCAGTGGGCCTCTGTAATAGGAATGAACATTGCCCCTCATTGTGCATTCCAGGATCTATGAATGTTGCCGTCATCCCTTATGTGGATTTGAATAATTTTGCACGCCCAATTTTTCAGTTTTTTATTTGTTAAAAAAGTTTGAAATATCCAATAAATTTCGTTCCACTTCATGATTGTGTCCCACTTGTTGTTGATTCTTCACAAAAAATTACAGTTTTATATCTTTATGTTTGAAGCCTGAAATGTGGCAAAAGGTCGCAAAGTTCAAGGGGGCCGAATGCTTTCGCAAGGCACTGTAGTGCCCTGCACCAAGGTATGCTACTTGTTATGCTAATCTATTGCCGTTTTAGTGAATGGAGAAAAAAAATGTTTCAGGGTATTTCGCCAGGCCATTAAGTACATGAGGAGTGAAATCTGGGGCAGCAAATGATCTGAAAAACACAACCTGTCTTCAATATGGCCACCTACACGCCTCCATTAAGATGTATATTCTTGCATGTACGTAGATTGTTTATATTGTAAATATAATAACAAACGTGAATCCAATTTTATTATACAACTTTATTACCAGCTTCCTCGTAACATTGCGCCAACAACATAACATGAGTATAACATCAAAGTCTCTAGTAACATCCTCTCTGCCCCCTAAATAAATTATAAAAAAAATTCACGTGGAAAAATAAATAAATGACAAGAACAAGCAATTCCACATTTCTTTCTCTATTATCTGAATATACCTACACAACATTTTTTATTTTTTTTAATATTAAACACTCCATGAATGTTGTTTTTTCAACAGCTGAAATAAAGTTGCCAGTTTGAACCGTCAGATAAGGCTCCTGCATGTTTGTGTGCCCG